TGATGGATCACATATTGATCATATGCAGCTGCTGACTGACCCATGATGTGATGTAAATGTAACATTTTCTACATATAGATAAAATCAATCACTGCAATAAAAATAACTGTCTGTTTTTGTCACTTTTACGGTGGATTGCATCAACTCTGTTTCATACAGAAGGAAAACTTCACCAAAGTGAAACATAAATATGTGGATCTGTTTGATTACTCTGGCTGTCTTTCTCAAGGACCAGGATGTGTGACACAAAAATCTGAATTAAGGAACTGAAAGTGAAAGAAGTCAAACTGAATATTCCTGCTGGCACAAGATTTATCCCCTATTTTCTGTCCTGAAACTGGAAAAACTAAATAAACTAATATATTATATTTACTGCAAATAGTTGATATGATATTGGTGTCTTCTTTATTAAAAACAATCACACTATACAGTGTGAGGGCTGGTTTAACAGTTGAGTCCTAGTTTGAGTACTTTTCATTGTACAACCATTACAGTGGTAAATAAATAATGGCTTAGCTTTAAGTTAGCAATTAGAGCCACCTGAAAGTCAGACCTCAGATCTCCTGCAAGAAACATGCTGAAAATAACCAGAATATCTCACTTGTTGGCAGAAAATATCAATAAGCTCATTGAAAAATCACAGCTTTTAAACAAATAAAAAACTGTACGTATATAAGCAAACTTTTAGCACAATAAATAATTGTGCAACTATCTACTGTGAAAGTACTGTCACAGAAAGGCTTGGATTAAAGTTAAGCACTGCGACACCTTCAGCACCCTGACTTTTGTTGTTGTTGTTYGGTGGAGGGGCTTCCTGTGACTGTAAAATAGCAGCTGGAATCATGCCAGGTGCATCACATCTGTGGCAGAGCTACAGAGCGTTACTGAGCCCACGGCGCTCTCAAATATCAATTTAAAGGATATCTATGCTTTTTAATGTCCTGAGATGAACTGCAAAGCGAAACAAATCTTGATTTTTTTGCATGTCCTGCTTAAACACTGTCCATATACGATAATATAATGGAATAAGAACAGCTGCAGCCCACAGTAACAAAGTAGGTTACACAACACACATTTCCTACAGAAGTGATCTTATCTGCCTGCGAACAGCTCGAACTGTTCCAACAAAGCAGCTGTATGATTGGGTTTGACATTCGCCCCCTTTAACAATGAACCTCTTGTCAACCAGCGAGCTGTGGTGACCTTTCTTACAAACTTTTCAACTTCTCTGCCTGATGCAACATGAACAAACAGGTTGTTTGCGCCACACAACAAAGTGGAATGCATAACTAAGCGTGTGCATTTCAACACGCCTCTGCGGGTGGTGGTTTTTAATCACATGTTCACCATTACAGCCCAACAAATTTTGGAGTTTGAGCACGTGGATTGTGTGTGTGTGTGTGTGTCTTCCTGTTCTCGTGTTGCCACGGCTGACTGAGTTTGGCTGTCAGCCCTGCTCTGGGAGCTCCTGTGTTCTCTCAGATCCGGCACACGGCCCTCTGTCTGCTGGCGGTGCCTCTCACATGTGGCCCCATGTGAGGCTTTCGCAGCAGAACACAGCAGCAGCAGGAAGGAGACCTGCTCTGTTGTCAGCTGCTCAGGTCAGTCTGTGAAACTGAGTAAGAGACGCCTGCCCCCACACACAAACACACTCAAACACAGTGATTTCTTTGAGCATTTATGGTTTCATCTCCAGTTCTGTCTTTGTACAAAGTATTAGATCTAGATTCTTTTAGATGCATGTGCGTGTGTGTTTGTGCACGCAGTGTCCAACAAAGCTAAGACTTTTGCACACTGCAAAATGACAAAGCAATAAAAATAAATGTTCTGCCAACAAGTAAGAAGTGTTGCCCTTCACTCCACATATTGTGGATGGGATGCGTGGTGTTGCTCTAGCGCCCTCTCCTGGTGATAGTGTGTTGCTGTTATTTGCTCAGCTGATTTTATGCACTCAAACAATGAATGAACTGTTCAGGGCTTCTACATCTCTGCTATTTTTATACAATTTTATACAAATTTATAGAAAATCAAGAACATTGTGGACAGCCATGACCATTTAGACTGTCATAGAAAAACAGAGTGTCCTCAGTCGGAGGCTCCTTCAATTCTACAGACCGCTACAGAAGATCTTTCCTGCCCAGAGCCATCAGCATCTATAAGTCTTTAGTTAAATGAGTTYCTACAACATCTAATTTRCCTCTGGGATCAATAAAGTAGCCTATTTTTGAATTGACTTGATTTTATTTTTACTGTACCCCATTCGAACTTAAGTAAAACTTATGGGCATCAATGTAAAAACTTTAAAATCAGTAACTCACACTGAACAAGAACTAGAATGATCCTCCAGCATCCTCCTATGAAGTGTAAATTGTAAGGGTCAGTTATGTTTGCTTTATCAAAGTTAGAACAGTCTGTGTAATTATCTGCCATGACTCCAGTGATTTTTAAGCGTCAAAACTGTAAAARGTCCTGCTTTAAGCATCTATTGTAAAGAAAACAAAACAAAAGAGCTGTTTTTTTCTCTCTTTTGTCTTAGCTTTTATGAAATGAAAATAAATCTATAATGCTGAACCCACCGGTAATATTATGTTTTGAACTTTTAAAAGCTAATAAGAACTCAGGAGTCAAAATATCCAAAACAAACAAGAAGGACACTCAAAATGTAATTCTCACTTATGTAAATTCTTATGGTTTTTTGATTTAATGGGTTTTAAGGATAACTAGGATAATCTTAATCATCAGGAATGATTAAAGGAAAACGATTCAAACGTTGATAAATGTAGTGTTTTAGTGTTCTTCAGGTTCAAATGTTAATGTTGCTGCAATAGAAAACTTTTCCAATTTTTTTATAGTCAGTTTGTGATTTGTTTTCTCTGCTAACCCAATCATTATGCACTGTTGTTGTATGGAGTTGCTCTCTCTCTCTCAAAGTTCTTGCTTTTAAGTAAAAGGTGAAATATCCTACTAATAAAACAGTTTTAAATAACTCGTCTAATTTTCTGCACAAATAAGACAAACTGCTTCCAGAATTATAATCTAAGAGGAAAAGTTCCTGCTGTAACACCAACACAAATCGTTTTACTTCAGGATGTACTTGATGTTGTATTTCCACAATATGCTCTTTACACTCTTAGCACACTTTTTTGAAAAGTTTGTCACATGTAGGTTTTTTTAAAATAAATGTTTTGCAATTTTTTTAATGCTCTGCTATTTTCTCCATCTAGTCACCAAATTTGTTAAAGGATTCTTTAAAACAAATCCTTACAGCAGCTTCATTGTTTCTACAAATACAGAAAGCTGATGCAGCAAAAATCTTTCCAACATCAGTCACAAACAATAACATTTTGCTCATTTTATAAGTATACAATGTTGACTCAGTGTTCTGACATCTACAACAGACAACCGTAAAAGAGAATAATTTTATGGGACATCATGTTTGTGAGCTGAAGATGGCCGTTTTGATAATGAGAGCTATTTGTCAGAGCGCCYTGCTTCTTTTTTTATTAGTAGGAATAAGAAATTTGAACAACAGAGCTGATAATGTTGTGTTCRTTTAGACCACGTGGCAAACTCAAGGCCTGCGGGTGACTCACGTATGGGGGGTACAGAAAAATTTTTTTCTTAACATAAAAATTGTTTATTATATCGATGGTAAACTTTAAATTTGTGCTTAAATGCAACAAAATAAATGTAAAAGGTGAAAGATAATAACAACAGTCCTGCCCCCTGAGCTGCTTTAAGTAACTGAGCAATTTAGTTGGATAGCACAGTATTAACGTCTGAAAATAAGCTGCTTTAAAGTCASCATCAACCATTAACTAAATCTGTCATAATGCAGCTACTCACCATAAACTCATCAGTCAGTAAAAAATTATTAGTTTTACTTTTAATAATATTTCTGTATTTATTACAGATTTAGTCAGTCATACACTTAGTTCTTATCAGTGTTTAAAAGAGGACGTGTTAAAACTTTGTTTAGTCAAAGTTAAACATGAAACATCAAAGTTCATCACAAGTGGCCCTTTGAGGGCCACCATAACGCTCATGTGGCCCTCGATGAAAATGAGTTTGACTCCCCTGCTTTAGACCCTGTCACGCTATAACATTTTAGACAACTTGTGACATTTTTATGTCTGAATGCCTAGTAAAAGTTTATTTGATCAGTTTGTTAGCATTACAGTATGTACACACCTAAAGTAAGCTTGTTTTTTTTTTTTTTATTTCCATTTTAAGTTGTCTAAAAGGTTGTAGTCTGACAGGGCCTTTTGGCTTGCTTTCAGGGGTTCTGTCTTCTGTTTTATTTAACTGTATCAGAACAAAATCATCAGGTGATTTTAGGAGGAAAATGTAARTTCCGGATCAAGTCACAAGATGTGAAAGGACTTTGATCTTTAGAAATTGCTGTGTCTTGTGAGAAGATGCTCCAAAACCACAAGTAAGACAGAAAGCCTGAGGATCACAGGTGACTTCTCCTCCTCCTCCTCCTCTTCCTCAGGTATGTATTTTTATTTGGTTTGTCTGGAAAATATTGATTATTTTAAAGATATTACACATGCAAAATGTCTGTTTTGCAGCCTTTATTTTATACAGTATAAATGCAGAACATTTATTTTCTAGTTCAAAATGAAAATGAATCATTTGTTTTATTAAAATAAATTAATGAGTTTTAGGGAAAACAAAGTTAAAGATGCAGATATTTGGAGAAATYCCTTTGATTGTGATGCGGAAAGGATGACTGGAGTTTCTAATCATTAACAAAGTCATATGATTGTCAGTGTTACGGTCTGTTYTACAATAACTCATATAAAGTTAAAGCTCAGCTTTGGGATGACATGTTGAGTCAGTACAGATTTAAAATTTATTCATTTACTAAATACTGTATATTTATTGCTTTGATTTGCTCCAAAACTCCAAGTTTAATTAAAATAAAATATTAGTGATCCTGTGTTTATAAATACAAACTTTCTTCCCTTGTTGAAGCTGCGGTTGGGAAATCTGCCATGGAAACTTTTGGTCTGAGGAGGACTCAGTCCCTGAGGAGTCTTTCTGGGGTTCAGGAGAGTTCATGGGTCAGGTCACCTTCTGCAACCTGGAACAGAAGATCTGTCTCTCAGCTGGTGCAGCAGTAAGTTAGTTACTATGTTTATGTTCACATAACAAAGAGTAGAATAAATATATTTAGTTAGAGCGTTGATTCATTGTGTTTATGCCCAGAGCTGATCCCAGCTAATAGACGTGTTAATAATTATTCTCTAAAGTTACCAAAGCTGTGCTGACCTGAGGAGTTCTGAGAAAGCAGAGGAAAAACTCGAGGTAATCTGTTGTTTGTCATACTAATTTGCTGTTATTACTAAAAAAAACCAGCAAAATAAAATAAAAATAATTGAACAATATAAAAAAAAAGTTCTGAATGTGAACTCCTGTCAGGTTTCTGAAAACTGTGTGGATGGACGCCGGAGGTGGCAGGACAACAGGGACAACGTGTCTCTCTGGAGATCAGCAGGGAGCTTCAGTCTGTCCAGGAGTCGCTCCATGGACTTCCTCCCACAGAAAGAACCGTCTGGCACCAGAGCTCTGTGCGCTTTGTTCGAGAACAAGGCCACCCTGCAGCAGAAGTTRAACAGCAGCCCTCGGCTGAACTCAGCATCTGCAGCCGGCAGTAAAACAGGGACAAACTGGCCTCTGCAGGACAGGAGAAGTTATAACACTCCTCTGAAAGAGACACTGATTCAGGTATAAGAACTGCTGTTCAAACAGTAAAACAGAACATTTTCACCTAATAAAATACATTTTTTTAAAGTTTTTACATTTTAAAGTTTTGTTTGGGACCACATTGTTCAAGTGTTTGTTCTGGCACATTACATCCAAGCAGACAATAACACTCTCGCCTTTTTAAATTTGAAAAGTAAAGATGGAAAAATTTGCCTGTTTTTTCAAATAAAACAAAAATTACCCCACTAGAAACTTTTAAAACCAGTAGTATATAGAGTATACAGGACTGAGAGTAATTTCTAATCAAACTCTAATTGAGGAAACTGAACGAATTCACTTTCTAAAACGTCTAACCAAATCTTTCAAGCTCTTTTTTAGCTTAACACGCTGTGGACCTATTTTTCAAATGAGAAAGGGACACAAATGTCACAGTGCAAGCAACAAAAATAGTTTGCTGTAACAATCCTAACAAACACAATATCTTGTCAATCCACAGAGAACAACCCAGGTGGATGGTCCAAAGGTCATGAATGGCCTTCCAAAGGGTTACAACAAAGCCTCCGGTCACACAAAAGGTGAGCAGAGATGTTTAACCTCGTGCCTATGAGACACTGCAGAGGGCAGATCAGTGTTTGAGCTCCTCAAAGACAAACTTTATGGGCATATCATGATGTCATGGTGTAAGCAGCTGTCTTGTTCAATCTGTCAATCAACCTACCTGTTCAGGACAGGCTGAAATATTAAGGCACACTTCTTTACTATAAGTGTGCATCAAACAACACYTCCAACAAAAGGATCTGTGTCATCAAACATGACAGAGTCAAGGTTGAAGATTTTCAGCGAGTCATCAGGCAAATCCTGAAAGTGTTTAGTTAGCAGTACCCCATGCGCTGTTTTCATAGAAGAAGGGAGAAAGCTAAATAAAGCCGAGGATGTGGCGGAGTAAAAGCATAACTATGTGTTCAGCACATGTGCTTTAGATAGAAGTGAGGGCGCCGCTGACTGCTCTGACCATGAGGCAGAGCTTTGTCATCTGAACTCTGGGACTCATGTTGATGTTTTTGACTCTGTGATGCTTGAGGTGTAAGATAAAAAGAGAAAGGTGAGCAGGCAGTGGGAAAAATGAAATAAAATAAAATAATAATAATCAAAATGAGTTTAAAAAATCAAACGTATGACTTTCTAACATCTAATGAATCCTTTGTTGACTGCCACTGAGCCAAAATAGAATGTTCCATGAGTTCCTGTGTGTTATTTTAATACATCCGACC